AAGAAGCGGCGATGGAAGATGAAAATGATTTTCGTCTGCGAAGTTCAGAGGTTTCAACATGCCTTTTCAAAATGGCAAGTATCCTATTGTAAGTAAATCTTGACAAAGTCTAATTTTTTTCTATTATCGAGTTGTTCTAGTTAAGAAACATCTGTTGCATCTGGGTCCATTAAAAAACCTATTTTCACTTGCATTTTACTACTTTGTACCGCCGCATCAGCAGTCATTTTTCACCCTTATGATATGACTTTATGAATTCAAAACGCTGTGACGTTCTATGATCGATGATTATAGATGGTATCTCAAATATATGGTCTTTCTGGTAATGATATGCTTTAGTGGACTGCGTGGTATTTGCATGGAACGTTCTCAGCCATCCACTGCATGACAGTTCCTCAAGTTATCTATTGCAGATATCAAACCAGACCCAGCTACGTCCATATGTTTACCAGAAGGGAACTTTGTGCAATATCATTAATCTCATAATTTCATCCTATGATTCTATTTGCTGTACGATGATGTGTTATATAGCGGTTTCCCCGATACAGCTCGCTCTTCACGAGCAGCTTATCCGAAATATTATCCCTCCATCGTTTTGCTTTAGTATGATGCTGTTTCTGTATTAGATGCTCATAAGTTTGTTTCGGGATTTGCAAGCCATGGCTACCACATTCCTGGTTATGAAACGTTTGGTTCTTTTGTTGTAGTTGTTTGGTACGGAATGAAAGGCGGCTTTGGAATTCTTATGTAACAGTTGCTTTTTCTGCTGGCTTGTATATCTTTTTTTAACTTCCCAATACACCTTTCTCAATTGTTCATGGCTGAAGGTCTTCGGATGCCGATTTTCCTCTAGTTCGACTGACATCCAGAATGTGCATGATGATATCGAGTATGTCACTCACAGCGCCAATTAGGATAGCAGCAAGTTTTCCTACGCCTGTTCAATAGCACCAAAATCACATTCTCGGTAGCCTACTGGTGATCTGACAACCGTATGTTATGGACTAAAACGATAGCGTCCAACCTTTCAAACATTGTACCGTCTGGCGGAGGGTGTAAGAAAGGACATGATGAATCCCTGACAAACTCTGAGCAGCAAAAATTCTGAGGTTTATCGTAATTAAATCTGACCTCTTTCTTGTAACGTGCAAACTTAGACGCATTTTATGAGATACCACTGTGTCCGGTCTACACTAACATAGATCACCTAAATATGGCTATAATTGAACTTTCCTTTCCACATCTCGGCATCCCTGAATGCACGATTGGTTCAAACGCTGGTACTCTGAAACGCAGAACTGTGCGTGGACTCTTCCTCTCACCATCGGAAGAACTGCAACCTGGTCACTGAACTGGAGTAAGACCGATAAGTGATTACCTTCATCCACATGCAAGTTAATAAAGTGTGCTGGAAGTTAAGTAGGAGTCACATTCCAGAAGGAACTGCAGTCCTTATGGAAAGTGTCCAGAACCACTTTCTATTAGTTATCCCGTACCAGAATCGGTTAGATGAAAGGTAAAAGAACGAAATGTTTTGTGAACAGGTACGGGGCAGCCATGGTTTACAGATCATTAAACTAACTTGTCGGCCTTCCTAAAAGTGAAAGGCGTCATCTCTCCAAGAGGTTTCCGGAAAAGCATACCGGATTAGCTGCTTGTGCAGACAGAGCTACATTGGATAATCCGGAAGAAAATTAACAGAACCAGTTCAGTTAACATATCTTGCTTCAGGAGAGCCGAGTATGTCTCTACCATTGGGGAGCAGAGCATACTAATGAACCGTGTAATATAATGGATTAAAACAGCAGCATCCTTACGGTAGTCAACAGGCAAAGAAGACGGATATTAAAGCAGTCACGGTGGAACATACGAAAGCAAGATTAACAGGCAAGCACAAACTCAAAAGATCGATCCAGCATTACTTTCTGTTACATACTTCAACTGTGATTAAATCTATGCCATTTGAACTCCCGTCTCTTGCTACACATTGTCCAAGATACTTATGCCCTAATAATTAAGAACGGCACAACCCCGGCGAAGCTCGTAGTCAAAATAGGGCATGACAGTACCAACCGATGGATCCCAACTCACTGATGCAAGGTAGTGGTAGATTCTGGTTCCTTACTCAACGGCTGTTGTTTGCTCACGGAGTCAGAACTAAATTATTAAATGGAAAAATCTGTTGATGCAAACTTATGTTTGTAAATATTGATTCAAAATTGGTGTCCAGATCACTTTTCAGCGTGTTTTCAAGGCCACTTACGAATCTATGATGCCAGTTTTAGCGTTCACACATTCACCAAGATGTGACTGTTATTAAATTGCGCCATTGCATTGGTTCAGTGTGGCGTCGTTATGTTTTATGTTACTATTCTTGCTCCTTATTTGTGATTTGGTGCGGCTTTTACCAGCTGTTCATATGTTCTCTGTTCCGGTGCGATTGCACCATGCGAATCCGGAGAAGCGACGGGAGGAAGTACATATTTTTCGCTGCGCAAATAAAATTTTTCTACTTAGGTTATGCCGTTATGCTCACTTGAAACAATGAGAATTGCTGTTAAATGCAAATATATCAGACAACATGACCGTACGTCGCTCGCACTCCAAAATTCCGTCACAATTTCGCATGTGTACGATCTACTGTTCGGTTTTGGGTTGGTTACATGGAAGCTCAGTGTGGTGAACTGCTTCGCCAGAGAATCAGCTGTTAATGAGTCATCTACGCTGCGCATTGGATTTGAATTCAGTCTCTGTAAACTGCAAATTAAGCGACCAATCCACAACGCCACAGTCCCCTGCAGTAATTCTCATTTGACGATCTCATTGTAAAGTTAGAGCGCGAACTCACATCGGTGTTGGGGTCAGTTTGCAATCAACGATTTTTCATCTTACTTCTTTCTTACCTTTGTGGCACATTGTTGGCACAAGTTTATATTCGTAGCTAGCGTATTCTTGCCAAGAATGACGCTTAGCATTTGTCCTTTGATGTCTGCCGGGCATAGAATCCAATGATTGGAACATTCATCAACTCGCTGTGAGTCTTCTTTTACCTAGGATGTTTTTTTTGACGATAATTGAAACAGAGGAGGATTTATGGAAACTCGTTCCAGTTTCATATCTTTCATGACGACATTGCGCCACCTTTTCTTGTCATCCCGTTCTTTTTTATCTGGCAGTATTGATGCTTGGATCGTATTTACAATGTACTCGATGGTCTTCTTTTCATGTGGCCCAACCAGAGGAGCCTACTTTCGATATGCACTTCTGAAATTGGTGATACCTGTAAATTGCTTCTTATGGAGTTGTTTCGGATATGGTCTTTTCCGCCGACACCACACATCCATCTGAGCATTCGCATTTTTACCGAGTTCAGCTGTTATTCATGTCTTTTCAAGGTATTCAAACATTCAGTTCTACAGGTCTCACTATCGTTTTGTATGCCTTCCCTTTCACGCTGATGGGCATCTCGCACAGTACTTCGTCACTTCTCTCCATACGATTCAAGCATTTTTCGACCGATATCTTATTTCGCAGTCAATTTCTGCATTATCTTGCAGAATGGAACCATGGTAGTTGAATTCTTTGGGTTTGAGGCAGCATGCTTCCCGCTGTATTCACTATTTTCAAGGCTTTCCATCAGTTTGTCCCACTGAAATAGCTCACCATATATTCTGATTTGCCTTTGCTAAGTTGAAGGCCGTTTTTCTCAAGAGTTGTTCTCCATGCCTCGGTTTTTGATTCTACAGCTTCTTTGCTTCCGTTACGTGGCACAGTATCATCTACAGAGAGCATGCAGAATGGGTTGGTTCCTGCAGATCCTCAGATATTGTGTTTGTCGCCATAGAAAACATAATTGGGTTCATCCTTGATGAACTCCTATCTGCAAGGGAACTCTTCTGTTTCGTCGCGTGTACTTCGAACTGTCGTTGTCCTACTCGTACATGTCTTTCATAAACCTGACACTTTTTTGGCACCAGCTTCTTCCTCATGCTCCACCAGATTGCTTGCCTCTTGAGTCGATCAAAGGCTTTTCCTAGGTTTGGGAACATCATGTGAATGCGATGTCTGTCTTCTAGCATCTGTCTTCTGCTTTCGTCATCTGCTGCCAGTATTTTTTTTGTCGGTCAGTGCCATTCCGCTTTCGTCTTTTATTTACTTTACACTACCGACGTCTCTTGTTCTTTTTTCTCTGGCTTTTGCTAGGCGACAGATGTCTTTCTTCCCTTCCTTCGTTGCTTGGTTTTGGTGTAAGCTCTGGCACGCTGTGGACTTTGCTTCGGCGACGACTTTCTTTGCCTTCCTCTTCGATTCAACATATTTTAAGTGTCTTCCTTGCTGTTTGATGCGTGCCA